ATACCTCTTGTTAGAAAGCGATATAGTTTTTAAATTTTTGAAACTATCGAGGGTGAATTGCCACAACTTAGCGCAGCTAAAGATGAAATCTCTAGACTCATTGGAGTGTAGTTAGGCCCCAGTTAATTATATTTTGTTGATCACTTGCCTTGTTCATTTAAAAATGTATATATACAAATAGATTCCTGTTTATAAAAAAAGTCGTATACATATAATTTCCGATATGTATCCCATATAAATGCAATAAATACATAATCGATTTATTTACAAAAGCCCGACAATTTAATAGATTTAAAATGCCCACAGACATCAGGTCACCTAAACATCCAGAAAAAAAAACAAAAAAAGTTTTACTGAAATTGAAACGATCATGAATGAAAAGTTTGATGTTAGACTTAGAAAATCTGATTACCTATAACTTATATTAATAGTAATTTCCTTTCCCGCCCGCCCAGTATCTATGGTATGACGTAGGTTTTTCATTTTTCTTGCAAGTTGAACTTCGAGTGCTTCAACCTCTGGATAGAATTGAGTGTGGTTTCAACGTGTGTTAAACGATATATTTTTAACGATTAAGTTTTTAACTAAAAAAACAACGCTTTAAAAGCGTTAATCTTTTATAAACTTACATGTGCCCAATGGGAACAGTTTCATTCAAATTATATACTTCGTCTATTTGTTCTCAAAATTCAACATTTGTAATAGTTTGTCTAAACTAAATTGGGGGATATTTTCTTTTACAGCCCAATTTGAAATATTGTTTTTCAAAAATGTTCTATGGTACAAAGGTACAGTATGGCTTGGTATAATATTAATTTTAACAGTCATACTCAATAAAACTGTCGATTTGTTGTTAATTCAACTACTATTATTAGCGTGTTTAATATTTACTTCCGAATTGTATGATAAAAATTTCGTTACATTTTCAACCTGGAATTGTTCAATTCGTGGAAATTTATTATTGTTTCTTTAAAAAATTTGTTATTCCTGAGCGTCACCTCGTAAAATTTTTGATACACGATGGCAGGCTAATAATTTCTTTTGTAAAAGTTGCGACATGTTTTCCACACTAATTTTAAAAAACCATAAATTATCACTTCAGTCAATTTTAAACATTCCTGTTTTTCAAAAACATACAGAGATAAAGACAATGCTTAATATATTCCATATAGGAATTTATTTTTTAGTTGTTAGAAGTGTTACACTGAAAGTAATTCCATAAAGCCTGAAATGGTAAAAATAATACACTCATTAGCTCTAATTAACTTCTTTTATTTCCAATTGAAAAATCAAAAAGAATGTGAAAAATAATGTACAGCGTGGCCAAATGAAAAAGAAACAGCCATTTTCAGGAACTGCGTCAAGATTGTAGAAAAACGCTCAGACCCGTCGATTTTAGATTAAAGGGGGACATTCTTTGCAGGTATTTTTGACTCCGCCACTTTCACCCCCAAGCAAGGGTAAGCATCACCTCAAAATATTTAAATGACATTGGGGGTTGAGTAATATTTCTTTTGAAAGCTCTTACAATTGTCTCATTACAACAGACTTTAAATTTTATAATTCCGCCCAATATTTTGAAAAAAATTTACATTTTAAAATTTAAATTATGTTTAGTTGCTTACTTACTACTTACAATTAGTTGATTAAATGTTCAAACTGATGACCGCTCGCTTCCCTGCAAGAATAAAGATTTTGTTCGAAACGTTCGCGCACATTCCGAAGCATTTCCGGAGTGATTCGACGGCATTCGTCGACGATTCTATGACGCAAATCTTCCAGTGACGCTTGCTGTGTTTTATAGATTTTACTTTTTAGGTATCCCCACAAAAAGAAATCAAGGGGCGATAAATCCGGTGATCGTGGAGGCCACTCAATGCTGCCTCTTCTCCCAATCCAATTCCGTAGAAAACGTTGGTCCAAATACTGACGGACAATTAACGCATAATGCGGAGGAGCACCGTCCTGTTGAAAAATCAAATGATCTTCATCATACTCTGGAACATTTTAATTAATAATATCAGTCCAAACAGGGTCAATAGCGTCGTCCAGTAATTGCAAATACATTTGGCCAGTCAAATTACCAGGTAGAAAAAAAAGACCCACCAGCCGGTTACAGAAAATTCCAGCCCATACATTTAATTTTTCCGGTTGCTGTATATGCACCTCGTGAAAAACTCTTGGGTTTGAATCGGACGAATAGCGACAATTGTGACAATTTACCGTCCCGTTCAAGAAAAAACTGCATTCATCAGAAAAATAGATGTTAAAAAGGAACTGTAGATCGTTCCCTGCTCGCTCACTCATTATTTCGCAAATTGCAAACGGCGGTCATAATCATCCTCATGAAGTTCCTGGACTAAATATATTTTGTATGGATGGAATTTATTCTTCTTCAAAATGGTTTGTATGCTAGTTCGATTGATCCCAAACACAGATGCCAGCTGCCTCGTACTTAATGTAGGATCAAGATGAACTTGTCCCAAAACTGCAACTTCATTAGCTTCATTAACTATAGGTTTTTCAATTTCTCGTTTTTTATTGGCTACGTTCCCTGTCTCTTGAAATTTTTTTACTAACTCTAGAACTTCCTCCTGACATGTCGATCTTGATGTTGTTCATTAAATAGCTGAGCTGTTCTAATCGCACATTTATTGTTCATAAAGTAAAGCGAAATGATATCTACCCTTTCCGCAATGGAATAAACCATAGGGTTTAATTTTCAAAAACACAATTAAATAAACTACCAACCAACGCTTCCAAATAATACTAGAAAATAATTTGGAATCCACTAATTTTACGTTCATTGTGTGAGTATAACATTCATTTCTGTTTTTTACAATTGTGTTTTTTTTACGAAAGTGATAACAAATCGCCAAAAACCAATGTAACGCAAGAAATACTAAATTTATACCATTGGCGTACTTAACTTAAATGACTGACATTTTTACCGTTACTAATTGTTTGTGCATAAGTTTCAACTTTAAAATCAAAATTCTTAATAAGTATCGGGCGGAATTATAAAATTTAAAGTCTGTTGTAAAGAGAATTGTAAGAGCTTTCAAAAGAAATATTACTTAACCCCCAATGCCATTTAAATATTTTGGGGTGAAAATGGCGGAGTCAAAAATACCAGCAAAGAATGCCACCCTGTATTTATTGCATTACATTGGTAACATACTATTGCAAGCTTCCTCATTTTCTGTATATCTCATGGTATACCTCTTCCACGTTTCTTTGATTTTTATTTTATTTTAATTTCGAATTTTCACCACCAATAACGGCTGACAACATTTTTAACAGTAAGGTCATATTTTGCATTGTATTAGCCATGTCCTGTCCAAATTTGATTAGCGCATCTCTCTCGGTTTCGAAAATTCAATACCCACATAAGTGTTGAATAATTCCAAATATTTCGAATTTTCACGTCCAAGAACGGAGGTGACAATATTTTCAACAATAAGGCGATGTTTTGCATGTGTACATATTAGCTATGTCCTGTTCAAATTTGGTTAGTGCATCTCTTTCGATTTCGAAAATTCAATACTACTTATGCATGTTTTCAGCCACGAAAATTGAATAATAATTCCAAATGTTTCAAATTTTCACCACCATGAACGGCGGTGACAACATTTGTAACAGTAAAGTGATGTTTCGCATTATATTAGCTATGTCCTGTCCAAATTTGGTTAGTGCATCTCTTTCGGTTTCGAAAATTCAGTACCTATGTATGTTTTCAGCCACAAAAATCGAATAATTCCAAATGTTTCGAATTTTCACAACCATGAACGAGGTGAGAACATATTTAACAGTAAGGCGATGTTTTGCATTTTATTAGCTCTGTCCTGTCCAGATTTGGTTAGTGCTTTTCTTTCGGTTTCGAAAATTCAATTCCTATGTATGTTTTCAGCAACGAGAATTGAATATTTACAAATATCTCGAATTTTCACCACTAAGAATGTAGGTGACAACATTTTTAACAGTAAGACGATGTTTTGCAGTGTTTTAGCTATATTATGTCCAAATTTGGTTAGTGCATCTCTCTCGGTTTCGAAAATTCAATACCTATGTATGTTTTCAGCCACGAAAATTGAATAATTCCAAATGATTCGAATTTTCACCACTTAGTACGGCGTTGACAACGTTTTTAACAGTAAGAAGATGTTTCGCATTGCATTAGCTATGTCCTGTCCAAATTTGGTAGTGCATCTCTCTCAGTTTCGAAAATTCAATACCTATGTATGTTTTCAGCCCCGAAAATTTAACAATTCCAAATGTTTCGAATTTTCACCACTAACAACGGCGTTGACAACGTTTTTAACAGTAAGGCGATGTTTCGCAAAATTTGGTTAGTGCATCTCTCTCGGTTTCGAAAATTCAATAACTATGTATGTCTTCAGCCACAAAAATTAAATAATTTCAAATATTTCGAAGTTTCACCACCAAGAACGCCGGTGACAACATTTTTAACAGTAAGGTGATGTTTCGCATTGTATTAGCTATGTACTCCCAAATTTGGTTAGTGGATCAGATCGTGGACCATTAACCCAAAGCCAAGCAACTCGTCTTCAAGGAAGGAGGAAGAGCGATAACGTAGGCATACTCTAACCCAAGCGTCTTTTGCAATTGGTGTGAAGGAGGAGACGTTCAACAATCCCGGTTACCTTTTCGAAGGCGAGCAGGCGAAAACCGAGGACTCGGGTACCGTGGTTCAACCTAGCAGTAGATGTATGGAGGTGCAAGACCACCTTAACGTGCCAAAGAGGGACAAATATAGTAATCAAATGAAGGTTGCGATCACGTTCTAATGTCTCAGTAGGTATTGATTTATTAAAACAAGTTAAGAGAACGCTTATAAAATGTCTAATGAGGAGAGTGATTATGAGTATTTTGAGCATTAAAATGATTCATCATTGTAACGGATAAACATAAAAAGTGTTTGATATATCTAATATTATTTAAATATGATAAAAATTAAACGTATTTATCTGCTTTAACTGAATCATTTGTATCATAAAGTTCACCGCTGTCAGTACAAGGAATACCTACAAAAAGAAATGAAAACGGTATTAATAATATGTTTAATCTTCTTCTTCAGTGGTACTGATTGTAGAACTAGTTCTTTTCATATTTTGAAACATAATCCTCCACCTCCAAAAGGAGCTCTAAAAAGCAGTGTTTATGTGTCACAAGCATATTTCACCCAAAAGCTCGACCACGAATCGAACGATGAGATTACTTGGTCACAGGTATGTATTTTGAAAAATATTTATTATTAATAATAATACTAATATTTAATGTATTATTAACAAAATTTTATATTTTATACATTAACCGACTAGATCATTTTATTGGTTATATATGAAAAAATAGTTATTGACAACAATTTTCGGTTGCACCAAAACTAGCTTAACCACTTTTTTCAAAATGTTTATCAAAAACATTTAGCTTTACCGAAGACGTGATTATTATTTTACACCTGAAAACGTTTTATTAATCTTAATCGCGTGTTTATATCGGCGACGTTAAGAAAAAAATTTTTTTTTCATCATATGAAAAACAGGGGAAGGGGTCGTCGTTTAAAAAAAAATGATGAAATGAATAATAATTTGTTCTATTTTCAGAGATACTTCGTAAATAAAGAATATTTTAATACAACAGCTAATAATGTAGTTTTTTTAATGCTTGGAGGAGAAAGTGAAGCTTCTGAACGTTGGATGATATATGGATCTTGGTTAGTCAGCGCCCAAAAATATGGCGCTTTGCTGTTTCAATTGGAGCATAGATTTTATGGAAAAAGTCACCCATTCTCGTAAGCACCTTTTAATATATATACAGGATATCTTGGAATTAATAGAACAGATAACACTGTGCATTTAGAACACTGAAATATTATAATTTAAGGTGGCCATATCCCTGGCCGAGAAATGGTGAAATTTCTGTCATTTTTAGGTACTGAAATCTTGAAAAGTAAAACGTGTAGAACAAAAGTAAGCACAAAAATAAAATCCTTGATGTTTTGTTTATTCATTAGCTTTCGATTATTGATGTTTGAAATTATTTGTCTTTGCGGAAAACACTATTAAATTTATTATCAACGGATTTTAAAGTCCTAATGTTTATTAAAATAACCAAGCAATCTGTAAGAAGAATAAACGGTTTCTGAAAAATGTTTAATCTAGGTAAGCTCACTGTTAAAGACCGCTTCACTCCAGATAATTAAAATTAACACATCTTTCCAAAATAGTGTGCGAAAATTGCTAAATACTCTTCCGAAATAAGGTTCTTAAATGTCACGGACCTATCACATGCACATACGTTTATAATTAGATTTTAATAAAATCGCTATAAGTGTTTTTTTTTGCGGTTAAAAAAACATTTCTTTTTTAAACTATGTCATCCTGTGCACAAACAGATACCACAGAATCTTGGTGTCAAAGTAAGTCGATTTAGATATAAATAAATTATTATCCAGTTACTTCGTTTAGTCGGTGGAGGGCGTCAAAGAGCAAAAAGCAAATAGTTTCTTTTTCTAAAATAAATTCAGTGTCTAATGTCAGTTAAATAGATTTGAATTAAAAAGGTAGTGGTGATGTTCAGATAAAATAGTTACAGAAAAAGTCTTGGAAAAAAACAAAAAAAAAACAAGAAAATAAGAGAGAAGTTGAAAAAACGTTTTCGCCAGAAAACAGGACAGGAGTCATAAAGTCACCCACCGAAACAAAGTCACCCACCAAAATATATGGACATACAGGGTGATTCAGAACTTATCCAAAAAAATTTGGGAATAGATACGGCATGAGAAATGGAGTCAATATCTTAAAAAAAATTTTTGTAAAATCCTTATAGTTTCCGAGAAAAAAATTATTGAAGTTATAGTACATTCAACGACTACATAGATGAACAACTGTAGTCTCTAGCGTCATTCGCAACGCGCATGGGGAGCCACCTGGCCTCAGCGACTCCGAATACTGAAATCGGATTTTGCAATCGTCAGCAAGACAACATTTGTGTTAGTTCGTAGAAACTGAGTAAGACGGACCCAAATGTGTTTACACGTTGGTGGATAAAATTTTGAAGAATTGTTGTAACATCGGGTATGTCAAATGATTTTATTATTTAAAAACACAAATTAATTGTATTAATTAATAAAGGCAAAAGCAGTTGAATTTGCCGATATAAAATAGGTGCGATAAAATCCTATTTAGGTACATATTTTTTTCCTTGCGAAAATTTTTGTCCGTTTTTATCACACCGCCATGCCGGTCGCATTGTCCGAGGTCAGGTTTTACAGTGGACCAGTTTCCAGTGCCGTACAGAAGTGTATTTTTAAATCATTTTCGAACTGCCCTTTTTGATTTTTTCTTTACAAAATTGTATTTGTAAGGGTCCCCTGTACATCCAGATTTTTTTTTTGAATAAGTTCTGAATCACCATGTATTTTCTTAAGGATGGGCTACTTTTCCTGTTTTTAGAAATACAAATTCTTTGCTTATGTCAGAGTAGGGCATATGTTCAACAGCAGGTACTAGTAGTAGCGTTTGAAAGATATATGGAGAAAAGACTTTATTTTTCCTGTGGTTAAAAGTAACTCTTAGCATTCTGCTAGCTCCATGTATTTGAATATTGGGACATCCTGTAGGCACTATTCTTCAAATTTATAACGTCGAGTCTGACTGGTTTGACTGAGTATTTTTGTCATATCCTGCATATCAGTAACCCACTTCAATTAGTAAACACTTCAGAGAGAACAATAAAACATAATTTTAACAACGTATTGTTTTGCCACTTCAGATATTACGATAAAAGCATTTTTTTTATTTTCGCAGGATATCATTATTTAACTGGCTACTAAAAAATAAAGGTGAAATGAATTTGGCGAACAGTTGTTGCGTGCTATTCCTTCGTTTCGCCATCTGTTAATAGGAGGCTTAACTAAGATCTCCTACCACTGTCCTCATGCATAACGAAGTTGTCTTTAATAACATGTTCAGTCTGAATTTGTCTTCTAAAAAAATTTTATAATCTAGAAGTACCTACCTAAATTATATAATTTTCGTTTATTTTCCGATTCTCAACAATCGTGTTTTTTTTATCTGTTAAATTTGACATTTTTTTTCAAAGGAATAACCAAAATGATATTATTTTCCAACATTTCAAAAATTTCTTCCGCTTTAGTTTAATTTTTTATTGTCACAAAATACATACTGAACATTAATATGAAAGACAGCGTCATTCGCACATTTCTATTTAAAACGACTATTTTACATGATTTCTGCCTTATAATTTCACTTATAATTTTGTTATACTTTATTAAAACAATATAAATTTTGCATCAAAAATAATAAATATTTTTTTCTACGATTTTAATTTTTATAATTCCCAATAATTGGGTCACAAAAACTTATTTAAACTATGATGTCATTAAAACACTTAAAACATTACTAAAGGTTGAAAATAGCAAAAAATTAAAAAATAAAAATTTCTCTTACATACTTCAAAATTTTGAAAAGTGATGAATTTCCAGAATGTTTTATTAAAATTATAAATCGACACTAAGAAATTTCTTAATGTTCGTTCAAATAATTATAACTGTGAACTGCTAAGTAAATACATATTGAATTTAGAAGTTGACTATTATCTTCATTGTAATTGTACACAGCTGTTTATTCTGACGTACAAAAATGTTCTATTTTAGCGATTTGAGTACTGAAAATTTGCGCTATCTCTCAAGTGAGCAAGCGTTGGCCGATGCTGCAAACTTTATCAAGGCCATGAACGAACAATACTCCCTACCCTCCGATGTTAAATGGATAGTATTTGGTGGTTCTTATTCCGGTTCTCTAGCTGCTTGGTTGAGACTAAAATATCCCGATTTGGTACAAGGAGCCGTGTCGACTAGTGGTCCTCTTTTGGCAAAACTGGATTTTTATGGTAAACATTGAAACTTTTAAATAGTAAACACAATCACGTTTTTCAACCAACTTTCAATTAATTATAACAAATTAGTAGCCAGCTGTCTTGGTATTTAGTTTATTATGATAAAATTTAGAAAAGTTGAAGAAGTGAAGTTAGAAGCAATGATTTATTGAGCTTTGAGGATTTAATATTTTTATACTACAGAAGCTTTTAATAATAATTAATCAATTCGCCTGAATTTAAAAATGATTAAATCACATTTATATTCATTTAGCTATGCTAAAACACAGTCGTTATCTCGAAAACATATCTCAGCATAGCACTTAGATCTTACGACCCATTGTGCGAAATCAAGCTGCTGCTACTACTCTTAGAACAATTATTGGCAGTTCAATGTGTAAGACGAACTATCTCCATTTTTTTTTTTTAGTAGAATAGACCTTAATTTTTTTCTGTCACTGGTTAGCAGAGGACTATAATTACTAATGACTGATATGTTAGTTAATTAAATTTACTAGTGTAAAATGACAGGATAAGATGGAATACGTGATCTGGTTAACAAATAAGTCTCCTGATCGACAAAGTCGCTTCAGCATATGTCCTAAAATGAGTATGAGATTGGTTCTTTATTTATTCCATTTCTTCCCCGTTTCTTAATTTTTGTAATAAAATGTATTTTTGTTTTTCAGAATATTTTCAGGTAGTCATTGACGATTTGGCTGCTATCAGTCAAGAATGTGTGAACAATCTTACAACGGCCATGAAACAAGTCGATGATTTATTATATAATCCTAGTGATGAGGAGTCTCTTACAAGCATATTCAACTTATGCGAACCCATTGAGGGTCTTGACGTAGATGGTTTCGAAGTTGCAAATTTCTATACCAGCCTAACAGACGCCTTCGCTTCAGTAGCCCAGTCTAGTGGGTTGCTTGAATTTACGATTGATGATCTGTGTGACCCATTGACTGATCAAAACGGAGGAAAAGAAATAGTTCGTCTGTCTAACGTCGTTAATAGGATACATGGTACACAATACGGATGTTTAAGTTACGACTACGCGACCTATGTAGCGTACTTGAAGGATACTAAAAAAAATGGGGATTGTAAGTAGTGTTACTACGATCTTTCGTATATACAATTATGTATGTTGCTACCGACTCATAAATTATTGAATAACTGTTAAGTTAAATATAAACATTATGTAGAAAATGCAAGGGTAATTATTTTAGTACGTCAGTGGATATATCAAACATGCACCGAATTCGGCTGGTACCAAACAACAAGCAGGGAAGATAAAATATTTGGAAAAGGATGCTCCATAGACTTCAATACAAACCTATGTGTAGAGGTATTCGGAAAATCGTTTAATGAAACTTTCATCAATGCTCAAATCGACCGAACGAACGCAAATTATGGTGGAATTGATATCGCTGTATCAAATGTGGTTTATGTTCATGGCTCTCTAGATCCTTGGCACGCTGCCGGACTTACAGAAACTACAAATCCTGATTCTCCTGTCATTTTTATTGAGGGTAAGAATTTCAAACAGAAATATTTAAAGATGAGTAGGTGCCTAGTAGTAAATACAGGTATCACAGAAATTAGGAAGTGAGGATATAGTTTTTTAAATTGCAAATTAATTTTCAGGGACGTCTCATTGTGCTGATATGTACGAGACTACAGAGAACGAATTGCCACAACTTACCGCAGCTAAAAATGAAGTTGATAGACTCATTGGAGTGTGGTTAGGCCTCAATTAATAATATTTTTGTTAGTTATAAAAATGTATATTATACAGAAATATATTGCTGATTAGAAATATACAATTTCGTATTGTTAACAGAAGATAGTAAACTAAAGATTTGATTTGTCTTGGTGGCCAAGCTAAAGGTTTGAAACGTCAAATCGACTTCTGATAACCTTTTTTTTTTTATTAAATTTGGAGGTGTTGCAAATGGACTGTCCAATGGTGACAACATAATTTTTTGTTCGTTTTCCTTAGTGCTTAAGCCACTAACTTTCTCTGTTAATGCTCGCTAGTGTAAAAAAATTACTTACATCAAAAATGAGAAAAATATCCTAATAAACACATTACATTAAGGCAGGCTTTTTATTCAATCTTTGAAATTTAAAACATGAAATAAAATTTTAAAGATCAACTAATTGTTTTATTCTAAACAAGATAGGTTGACATTTGATTTTTAAATTGGGGCACACATACGTTAAATTGTTGAAAACCAAAGGTCGATTCAACGAAAGAATAGACGTAATTTTCAATTAAATGGAAACGTTAATTAAACACTGCTGTATTACGTTTAAATAATATGGAAATGAGCGATTAAGAAACGTTTTATTCAAGGTTTTATTAACATTTATAAAACTTTTTATAGGTATCACATTTAGATAACATTTTATATATCGTATTCTTTATATTGTAGAAACACTATTCAAGGTTTAAAAACATCAAAGATTTAGTAATATTCAACGTTGATTAAACAAGAAGTGAAACTATAAACCTTTTTTTATATTGGTTGGTCCTAAATTTCCCCCGACATTTCACTGTTGCCACTTTTTTATATAAAGCTTTTCCGAAAATGATAAACCCCTTTAAAAGAGCATGAGATATACGTTTTTTTACAATATTTTTAAAGTTTTTCAAAATATCTTATCTCATTTTGAGCTTGAGCTACCGATTTTTTTTAACTTCGATAAATTGAACCGTTTTTCAGAAATTCAAGTTTACATGTGAGGGTGCATATCCAAGATTCCAAAATGGCGGTCACATCAGACATTTCGAGATATTTCTATAAAGCAAGTGTTATCACTTGAATAAATAAAAAAAATTGTCGAAGAAACTGTGCGAAATATCTAACATCTGAATTTATAATGCTATCGACTTTTTTTCTAAATGTAAATTTGGTTCGAATGTGTAATGTTTATTGTAGCGGTATACGTAATAAAAAAGTTAGTTGCTAATACGCTGCCAAGAATGGAAGCATTTTTAATAAAAACAAATGTGTCATGTTAAATATAAAAAGAAGTACATACTCGACGTACCATGACAGTAGTCTTCAGCACTACTATAACCTGTGCATAACTTACGGATCCAGCACTCTTAGGATACCACTCTTCATCTTGTGATGAGCAGGTAGAACCAGAGACATTAAATTATTTTAGATCACTTGTGTGTAATGAAAATTTAGCTAGAAAAACCAAACATGTAACTAATCGTTCGGTCGATAGCTGCACGGTTTAAGGCGTCAGTACTTAAATCGATGTGTGCTATCTACCCGGGTTTCGAATCCCGCGTCCGGTAGACCGTAGATTAGCTATGCTTGTACGGAGGATTGGCACCCTCTGTGCAGGTATGGTAGGGTGGAAGAATGTTGGCTTGGGTCAATGTGAGAGATTGACACCGGTTGGCATTTGACCACCCCCCTAATTAATGAGGTTTTCCAGGTTTCCCTCATTCCTGCACTGAATGGTGGTTAGGGCCTACCAACATAAGTC